GAAAATGGCTAACTTGATTTCTCATTTATTGACGAAATCGTTAAATGATCACTTAGACAAAATAATTTCACCAGGAAGTTTTGTCAGTTTTATTGGGTAAAGTATTTTATTAAATAAACACCAATGCAATACCAGGGGGTTAGGGTTAGGGGTTAGGGTTAGGGTTAGGGTTGGGGTTAGGGTTAGGGGGTTAGGGTTGGGGTTAGATTAGGTTTAGGGTTGGGGTTAGTGCTAGATTAGGGTTGTGGTGGGGAAAGGTTAGTCATAGGTAAGGGTTTGCTTAGGGTTTGTGGAATGGGGTGTCTGTTTTTGACTGTAGTAAGGGAAAGTGATTTATAGTATAGGATAGGAAGAAAAAAATAAAAAAAAAAAACATTATTGATAAAAAATAAAGTATTTTCCTTTTACAATTATTTTTATGGACAGGAGACTTTAGGAATTGGAAGGATATAGATAGAAGAAGAGCAGTGTTGATCGAGGAGTGGTGAAAGAAGATGTGAAGTGTCTATAAAAGTTTTTCAAAGATGGAGAGAAATGGAAATCAAACCGGTTGGGTGAGGAGAGAAGGATGCATCGGCACCAAGGCTCCTTATGGTTGTGAGTCGTCAGGGGGAAAGCACAACCGAGCGAGGATGTTTCTAACCTGGTACCANCCCTATAATATCTGTACATTATCCAGCAAACAGGCAATGACAATACTCAAACTATATATTAGGTAGAAATTGTTGTCTCGATCTAACACCAAATTCTCCAAACTAATTTATAGGAAATATGTAGCAGCTAGAGGGGAGAATTTACAATCATAAAGAGTTGTAATTTTACATATGTGTTTGTATGCTTTTGTTTTTCTTTTAGAACATTCAGATTTTAAAACATTTTTAATTGTAAATGGGACTTTTTAATTGTAATAGGAATATTTTTTATAACATTGTCTTTGAAAAGCCTCCTTGGGGAAAGTCAATAAAGTATGTATGTATGTATGTATGTATGTATGTATGTATGTATGTAAGTATCATTTGAAAATGATCTAATCCATAATCCATAAATATATAAGTTCTCATAGAGCAACCTGTACACAGATTCTGAAAATGGTGGCAGACCCTGTCTCCTACGCTTCTGGTACTCAGGATGTCATGCATCGTAAACTCTCCCTATTCCAAAGTCAGAGAATTGCGTGACTTCCCAAAAATGGTTGATAAAGGGCTGCACACAACGTTGGAACTCAAATCACGTTCTTATCCTGTAAACCCTATACATACTTATATCAGTTTGCATGTTCTCCATACTGTTCTCCAAACATTTCTATGCTACTTTCAAGGAGAATGTGTTTAACAATCAATCATTTTCTTAGTTCATTACTTTAATGTGTGATACCGTGGGGAGAAAGTAAATGCTTATCACCCCAAGGGGCAAAAGGATTATGGAACAACTCCCGTCATGTTTGCCCGTCAGTGATAAGTACGGCGAGAGCATAACGTCAAAGGCATAAATAAATATTTCAATTACATAGGAGTGTTGAACCTGAAGAGGATTTAAAGTGCCAGTCGAAATAATGGCTGATTAATAGTACCCTTTATTGTTTTACCGGAAATTTTATGGGTTGATTTACACACTACAAACAAGTGTGGTACATGCATCTCTACAAAAAAGATGTAGTGGCGAGAAAAGAAACTGCGCTTTACTCTGCATTGTGCTTTTCGCTGAGTTCAACAGGTTTCAAATACATTTTCTCAAAGGTAACCATCTTTCCTCATCTATAGTAAGTTAGTCTGTCCGTTTAGACCTGTTTCGTCTTCTTTTTTACTTCAGAGGCAGTTAGTGTGAAAGTTGAAGTCGGGTGCTGTAAACATGACCACACATGCAATCTTTAGTGAAAGAGTTTAGAGCATAAGGTTTACAGCACACGGCAACTGCTCAAAACTGACCCTAATTTAACTCAGTCTTTCATTAAGGCAATAAAAAACGAATGCCGGTGCCTGTTGTCTGCCACGAACATCATGGCCAAGTCCAAACCTGTAAAGTCAGTGTCGGAGAAAGTACTCCCAAACGATCTTTAGTTTGTAATAATAATAATAATAATAATAATAATAATAATAAATAATTTAACAATGGACATCCACTGGGTGGTTATTCTTGTCCACTGTTCCAGATCGAATTGGAATTTGGAATTGGAATTGGAATTAGTTTGTCTAGTAATTCCCTGGGTAGCCTCAGAACAGAGGCAGTGAATACATTTTTATTTCCTGGGTCGATGTTCGTCATTGGTATGGTTGTTTTCTGGATCCATTCTTCGTTTGCCGGGTGAAAATATTCAACACTCAGTTCTGCTTCGTTTCTCCCATTTTTTCCACCCAGTACGTACAGCTTTCCATTCAGACAAACCAGTACTATCGTTATAACGTGGAACACTCAAGTTCGCAATACATTGCCACTCGTTTCTCGACGTAGCGTACATCTCACAAGTTTGTAATCTCCCTCTCCTGCTTATTCCTCCAGCAACAAAGATTATTTTCTTGAGAAGCCACTCCGAAAGCTGCGCTTCTTCCTTCTAGCATGTCGGCGATCTCCTCCCACTTGTTCTCCACGGTATCGAATCTCTCAGCTTTGACGAAAGTATCCCCTATGTCTGGATTCCTCTCACCAAACGAGCACAGATGGCTGCCGGCTGCAACAACACAAGCATCCTTTCTACATTGTCCATGAGACGAGATAAGTGTCTCCCATGTACCTCTTAGTAGAAGTCTTCTTGGCATAGATGTTAACTTCAACAGAATAAATTTCTCCTTTAAGAACGGCCAGATTTTCAGGACCTACCATCAAGTTTATCTCAGACCAAACGTTCAAAATAGGATCGTATCTCTCTACATTTTGGTAAGTGGCGAATGTGAACAACTGGTCACGGAATTTTATCATCTGAGTTAGTCTGGCCTTTTTGTCCTTAAGACCATCTTGTAAACGCTTCCATAGGTCTTCTTCAGGAAGACAACGAAAAGTGCACTTACCACCACGAGCTACAAATGACACGTGTTTCAAGACCTTGCCTGGGTGATGGCAGGATATCATCTTTATACAAAGGTAGTATGCACGACCAGCTTCACACAAGACAGACTGTCACGCACCAGTTCGTTTGTCGCGACATCTTTCAGACAGTCACGCGACAAAAATCCCAGTCGAACGTGACCAGACAATTCTTCAAATGCTGCTCAGTTTTCGCTCGTTCTTTCTGTGGTTAACCCAGTATGATATGATCTTAAATACATCAGCTTCCTTTTCGACTTTAATTTCGTCGGATGTAATCCACCTCTCGACTTCTTTAGCTTCCAAGTGCAAAAATTCATCCAGTTTCGCCATGGAAACGATGTTCTCATTAATGAAACGCCTGCTCATTTTGAAAGGCTCGTCACAGTCGTAATTTTCAGCGAGGAAAAAGGTTGAAATACAGTTAAAGTTGGACATTTATTCGTTCCAAAAATCGACCTGAAACAGTTTTCAAGTTCGGTATAATCAGATAATTTCCTGCAGCTATCAGTTCCTCAGCATTCTTCTGAGTTACTTCCACAGTTCCAGTGTAGATGAATTCCAAAACATCTACCATGGCAGATCCTGAGATCTCCTCAAATCGGACAACCCCTTCGCGATTCTCCCGCTTCATGTCGCTCTGAAGAAGCTTGCACAAGAACGAACTTGTGGCGGAAAGAACATTTCTGTGAGCCTTGAACTCTCTGTTATCTTTAGAAACCAAAGTAAATGTCGCACAAATAATCTTGATTACGCTGAATGTTAAGGCGCTTCATCAATTCCACACAGAACAAATCTTGTTGAGCAGCTGAGATAGGCTCTATATCTTCCCTCGTTTATAGAATATCCTTATTTCCTTGAACAGAATCCGTTCAAATGTTGCTGATAATGAGGAGAAAAATTATAATGAAAGCGGAAGTTTAGCTGGTTCCCAGTTTTCCATCTCAGTTCCCGAGTCTCTAGGCCAAGGAACTCTGTGGACTAGAAGATACAAGCGAGCTATCATCAGCTTTGGTAAGAAATGATGGCCTTAAGGCTATAGGAAAAATTGTGAGGAAAAGACTGAACTAAATAGGCTGAATGAGTTTGATAAAAATATCCTGTCGGCATCTTTGCAAACAAAGTATCACGTAAAAAGATACAGGTAGAGGTCGACCAAACATTTTACTGGCTCTGAAGAGGACAAGAGTTACTGATCGAAATACTAGTCCATTGCTCGGGTACGAGCATGGCTACAACAGAGATTCAATTTAATTTTCTTGTGTTGTGGGTTTCGCTACACATCTTTGTTCAACTGTGACCATTCTTACCTTACTGCTTCTAGTCCCCAGGATGTCACGCATTGTAAACCCCCTGTTAAGGATTATTTTCTGTTCTTTCGTTTTCCAGAAATAAAAAAAGAAAAAAAGAAAAAAAAAAGAGCGAACCGGAAGTTATTTTACCGGAAGTCATTTTATTGATTGACAGTTTAAAAAATAAAAAGACCCGGATTGACGGGAGGTGTGCTGACGCCATAAAGAAAGGAAAACAAAATCAAGTGTAGTTTTTCTTCGTCGTTTTCTTTGCGGGATTTTTTGGCGAGTTTGGAGGTTTGAAATGGGGAGAATTTGGAAACCTTAGGAGAAACACCCCCCTCCCTTCCAAAGGAGGGGAGAATTGCGTGACATCCCAAAAATGATTGATAATGGGGGCTGCACACACCTGACATTATTACCCTTTCAACCCTTTACATACTAATATCAGTTAGCATATTCTCCATACTGTTGGGGGTGATACCCTAGGAAGAAATTACCGGTAGATGCTTATCACTCCCAGGGGTTAAAGGATTAAGAAACAAATCACGTTATGTTTGGTCGTGATAGATATTATTACCAACAGTGCAGCTACTTTGCTAAATTAAACCGACATGAATTATTGAGGTAAATCAGAGGATAAGTTTTGTTATTGTTTCTTTGTCAAATTGGGGTGAGAGTGTTTCTACAACTGCACGACGCACTACCCTTGGAAGCCACACACTTTTTCTTTTTATTGTGGAACAGCTTACTCGCTAATTAGTCTATAATCACACCACAAACTACTACAAGGCTCATGAATTTATCTTAAACGATTATCATGCTTCTTGCATTTATACTTTATAAAACGAAAATACCCGTCCTCCTTCGCATGCTGTCTTTACAACATAAATGGTTTACAGAAATCTGATTGTTTTTTGAAAGAAATATCTTGAGTTGATGAGGACTTAGTGATCGAAAAAAACATTCACAAATCTCCAAACTATAAAAGTGTAATAGTTCATTGTAATCTGGAGTCTCATGGTAACGTGGAATAAAAAAGGAAGAAAAGTTTAACTATGAGCAACGCTTCAACTGAATTTACAAAAGCTTTAAGTTCTAAACTTTGTGCATGCTCCTTTGTATTTATTGAAGAATCTTGTTATTGCTGAATCTCTGTGCTACTTATACAAGACCGAGATAATCTCTTTTACGAGACTGTATTTTTTTAACTGCAACAGTTTAATAACGTTATTTAAACATGCAAGATTATGTTTTACCATCCAACTGTAGTGAAATCACGCACAGGTTATCTTATCGACCAGACATCTAAGATCTCTTTTTGTTCTGTCCCACTAACTGATAGGTTTGAACACTCGTGAGGAAAACTTAAAATTGTCTCCTTGAATCAAATTAAGGGATTATAGAAGCTAACTCATTCAGTCATTCATCATCTTCACACAACTCATCATCCTCGGACAACTCATCATCCTCGGACAACTCAAATACAGGAACAGGTGGCGGGGCAGTTGAGCCAGAGAGAGAGAAGCCGCCGCGGCCACCTGAGGTGACTTGTGCACCGGAGGTAAAGACGCTGCTAGGGCCGGACAACTCAAATACAGGAACAGGAGGCGAGGCAGGTGCAACAAAAGAGAAGCCGCTGGGGCCACCTGAGGTGGCTTTTGCACCGGAGCCAAAGAGGCCACCTGAGGTGACTTTTGCACCGAAGCTAAAGGGGCCGCTAGGGCCACCAGAGGTGACTTGTGCACGGGAGCCTAAGACGCCGCTAGGGCCACCTGAGGTGACGGCTGAACCGAGGATAGAGGTGCCGCTACTGCCAGAGGATACACTGCTTACGTTGTTTCCGGAAAGGCTGCCGAAGGCGGGTTTACCGGTCGGTGGCTCAATCAATTCTTCCATGAAAAAGTCAGACATCTTCAGCACTCCTTTAGAGAGCTTCATTACACATCCGGTGAATGTGCTCTTATTTGCTGATGCGTACCTTTCCACTGGTATGGATGTTTTCTCAATCCACTTGTCCTCTGTAGAGTCGTAACATTCAACTGACAGTAATCTATCTCTATTATTCTTGGTGCCACCCAGTACATAGCATGTACCATTCAGACACACCATGCTGCCATACACACGACAAGTGTTTAATCTTCCAATGATGTGCCACTCGTTTGTAGAAACATTGTACACCTCACATCTTCTTGACACCTTATTCTTTTCGTTTAAACCTCCAGCAACAAAAATCTTTTCTTCAGTTGCCACTCCAAAGGCACCACCCCTTCCTTGCTGCATGTCGGCGATTTCTTCCCATTGGTTTTCCGCAATGTTGAATCTCTCAGCTTTAGCGACATAATCAGAACTGCCAGGGGCCGATCCACCTAAAAGATACAGATAACTACCAACTGCGACAAAACAGGAACTGTTTCTACAGCCTTGAGGAGATTCCACAACTGTTTGCCATGTACAAAGCTCCACATTGTATCTCTTGATAGTAGACTGTCCAACAGGTTTGTTAACTTCAATAGCGTACATATCCCCCTTGACAACGGTCACGATGGCGTTATCTACCGATACGTCAGTCAGATCTGACTTTGACCAGCCATTAAACACGGGATCAAACTTTTCTGCCTTACTGAACTCCTGAAATATGTACAGCTGATCACGAAATGTAAGCATTTGTGTTTTCTGGTTTCTCTCAGTTGACCCGTCTGGCAGTCGTTTCCACTGTTTTTTTTCTGGGAGATA